CCAAACCTAACCTAATCAAACCCTAAATAAGCCACACAAAGTCTAACCAAAACCTAACCTAACAATACCTAACCAAACCTAACCATACTAACCCTAAACCAAAACTAACCAAACCTAACCTAATCAACCCTAAATAAGCCCTAACCTACACCAAACTAAACCTACAAAAAAAAAAAACCCAAACCTAACCAAAAAACCAAACCAAACGTAACAATACCAACCTAACCAAACCAAACCTAACCAAACCTAACCTAACCTAGACCAAACCTAACACTATACCTAACCAAAGTCACCAAACCAACCTAACAAAAACTAAATAAACCGAAGATAACCCAACCTAACCTAATGCTAGAACCAATACCAAACCTAACACAAACTCAAACCTGAACCCTAACCAAACCTAACCAAACCTAACCTAACCAAACCTAACCAAAAATTAACCAAACCAAACTAACCAAACTTAACCTAATACCTAACCTACACCAAAACATAACCTAACGCAAACATACACCTAACCAAACCTAACCTAACCAAACTTCACTCTCAACAAAAACCGAACCTAACCTAACCAAACCTAACCTATCTAACCAAACCTAACCTAACCAAACCGAGCCTAAAAAATACCTAACCTACCCCACCTAACCTAAACCCAACCTAACCTAACCAAACTAAGCCAAACAAACATAACCAAACCTACCCAAGACCTAACATAACCATACAAAACCTAACCTAACCAAACCAAACCTAACCTAACCAAACCTAACCTAACCAAATCTAACCAAAACTAAACAAATCTAACCAAAACCACAACCTAGCCTAACCTACCCAAACCTAACCAATACCAACCTAACCAATCTAACCAAACAACCGAACCCTAACCTAACCATACGTAACCTAAGCTAAACAAATCTAATCTAACAAACCTAAACCTAACCTAACACCAATGTGGCATGCAAAGAGTACGGTAAACCTTATTCGCGGCATGTACAAACTACCCTCATTTACAGCTCTATCTCCCCCAACCATCGGAACCAGTTGCTAAGGGAGTTACTGATGATGGGGAAGGCCCCCGTCGCTCACTAGTGACCAGGGGTGGGGTTTAGTAGGGGGGGGGTGTTGTAGGGGGGGGGGGGGGGGATTCCGTAGGCCAATAAAGAAATGGTTTTGGCAACCGCAGAGTTATGTGGGTACATCTCTCCTGTCTGCCCTTGTCATTAACACTCAAAAGCTGCGGTTGAAGCACGGTCTGCTAATCTTGTGGCTTCTATTTCTGCCTTGCTTACCGTGGAGTGCACAATACTTATCGCTGAACATAGTGTACACATTGCACTGTTCTAAATTGGTGAAGGATAATAATAAGTCTAAACTTTTTCTGCTGTGTTTAAATTCTCCCATACACCGGATAACAGGCCATTTGGATTCCTGGGTTTGTAAATATGACGGTAGCCCCTGTCCCGAGAGCTGGAGCTGGACTTAGAGAAACGGTTGACTTAGGGAGAAGCTCGTAAGCAGAAACATTGTGCAGCTTGCTGTCTGGCATTAGCTTTTACAAATTTTGCGTGTCCAATCTCTATGGACAGCCTTGCTATTGTGTGATCGTTCACAGCTCACTACTAGCTTGTTAGGTGTCCTCCGATTCTGACTAAGGACAATCTTCTAGACAGGGTAGTCTGTCTGGCATTGCTTATTTACAAATTTTGCGTGTCAGTTTGTTTACTAAGCCTGTTTGGTGCGAGAATTTTGCAGTCGGACATTTGCTTGTATGCTATTCTGCAATCGTACTGTGCATAGCTAAGCGTGTTCTGCAATAACGTTTTAACGTTGTGGGACATTCTGGCAATCGTACTGTGCAATAGAGCGAATAACTTATTCCACTAACGAGTAAGACGTCTGTGTCGCATATACTTGTATAACCTACTAAAATTGATCCCTACAGCGTTGTTGGCAATTGCTCGTACCATTGGCATTAAATACAAACGCACATCTCACAGCTGCGCAAACTGCGTTTCACATTACGCTGACAAACTATAGAAGAAGAGATGGCACATCAACTCCTCCCTCTATGTAGAAGCTATTAGCAAAACACTCCTATGTTTTCGCACGCGGAAGATGATACACCTACGGAGCAAATGGTCAGAATAGTGCAAGGCTGGGTTGTCCTCAGGTGACAATCACAGCGTCGTTGGCACTTGAGCTGGCAAAAAACAATGCTTGCGCAAAACTAGGAACACAGAGCATTCGCAAGGAGGAAAGACAATTTGATAGGCGAAAGAGAACAAGGAGGCAGTTCTTCGCGCATTTTGTACAATGATTTTACGTTTACAAAAAGCATTACCAGCTGTTCCCCGCTTCAATGAGGCCGACACCAGAACAATGTTTCTAAAAGCTTCGAAAAATTCAGGCACTGCTTGTGGTTATGCCGAAACAGCATTGGTTCAATCGTTGGTTTTCAACAGCCTTATTGGGTAAGGCACAGGAAGTTTAACTCAGCATAAAATAGACTCTGAATTCTACTGATTATAAAGTAGTAGAAGACCACAGTGGTTGGATCATATACGTTTATCCCACCAAATATAACAGATTTTTAATTAAGCAGCGGCACGCTTGAACAATCCCTAGTGGATCTGTAGTGCGACAGCCAATACCAAAGCTATTACCAGCTGGTATAAAGCAAGTGAGTAGTCTACCCTTTGAGGAGCTGGTACAAGGCTTATTTGATTGATAAAACCTGCTGAGTCCTGTGGGACCGAGAGGTTCGAGTCTTTCTGCCGGATCGCGACTTAACCACATGCATTTGGAGGCACCCCAGGTTGGCTCGATAACCTTCGTACTAACCGCTCTTTGTCCGAGCGTCGCCTGATCTCCTCTTTTTCAACAGCCTGGGCATGAGCATGATGATCGTTCGAAATCCTTGGAGATTAAAGTGCCAGCCGGGAGGGAAAACGTCTACGTCAGCTCAACTAACGTCACCTGTGAGCCATGCTTCTCAACTTAAGGTCCACCGCGGATAGGCAAACTACTCCAATGGTGATCACGACAACAGTACCAGAGAGACACCAGCCAGAAACGGACACCAGTTTCAAACGGTTCAGGCAGGGAGTAAAATATACAAGCCTGTCGCTGCTTCCTCTGCAACAAAGTAGGAATACACATCCGTCCCCAACAGCCCCCATAAACCCCAAACGATTGGGAAAATCACTACAATACCCTATAAACATATCCCCTAGAGAAGAAGAAATAGGTATAGTTGCCCCTTATTTATTGCAAGAGTCTTATTTCCCTTCAGGAAGTCTCAAAACTCATTGAAGTTATAAGACCCTTTAGAGATAACTGATCATATTGCTCACTTGTAAAGAAGGGCATATACCCCTTTCAGAGACACAACACTCCTTTGAATCCTATGTTTTATTGAAGCATTTGGAGTGAGCTAGATATATCTGATTCCTCTTGCATAAAATTTATGTTCCAGGCCAATATTACACTGGGTACTTCACTGCAGGTGTCTCAAAAGGATTTGTCCCATGAAAGAATGCCATGTTTATTACTGGTAATAAGTGTTTAAGTGAATGTATATAGGAGCCTTTAGAACCAAGTGAAAGAGTAATTGTGGTTGCGGGGACCTGAATGCTAACGTAGAGAAAACTTTATAGAGAGGGTGTGGGATAGGTAAGTTTGGGGGTGCCAGTTGTAAATGATAATGGAGCCCATTGATTGAACTTTGTATAGAAAGGGTTTAGTCTATAGTAGATACAATAATTTTAGAAGAAAACAAGAGGATAAATAAGTATAACAAGAAATGATGTAGGCGCAAATGGACAGTAGAATGTTGGATTATGTCCTATTGGTAGATAAAAGACTGTATGAGTATAGCTTCAGGAGGTCCATTTTATAGAGGGGCCCCAGATAACATATCAGATCACTTTCCTAGTTGTACTACAACTGAGAGAAAAGGTAGATGGATACAAGGTGAATAGAAGCATCAGGGAACAAGAAGGTGTGAAGGTTTATAAACTAAGAAGAGGAGGAAGTAGGGTAAGAAAAACACTACTAGGATGGGATAGATGGGCTAATGAGAGCATATGGCAATGGGGTCGAAGAGGAATGGGGTAGGTTTAAAAATGTAGTGTTAGGGAGTGTTTCAGCAGAAGTTTGTGGTTTCAGGAAAGTGGGTGCGGGAGGGAAGAGAGCGATAGGTGGATGAAGTAAAGAGAGTATAAGGGAGAAAAAGTTTGCATATGAAAGTTTTTTATACAAAGTAGAAGTGATGTCAAGTAGGTGAAGAGTGTATGAGAAAAAGAGAGAGGTAAAGAGAGTGGTGAACAATGTAAAAAGAGAGCAAAGAGAGAGTGGGTGAGACAATGTTATCAACAAATTATGTTAACAATATGTCAGAAAAAGTTTTGGAGATTAACAAGTTGAAGAAAGCTAGAGAACAAATTGGATTGTCATGTTAAAAAAGAGGAGAGGAGAGTTTATTAAATGGAGAGTTAGAGGTATTGGGAATATGGAGGGACTATTAGGAATTGTTAAATGTTTGATGAAGATAGGGATAGGCTGTGATCTTCGTGTATAGGACAAGTATGAATAATATCTTGTAGGAGTGATGAAGATAGCCAGTGTGAGTTGGGGGAATTCGTGAGGCAGTAGGTAAAATTGAAAGGGGGTAAGGCTCCGGAATGTTGGGATAACAAGTAGAAATGTTCAAAGAGCCAGGTGGGTGATATAGTTTTTGTAGTGGTTGGTGCAATTATTTTAATAAGTGTGGAAGAGGGTAAGGTACCTAGGATATATTTGCAGAGAGATTAGCCTAGTTCCTTGTAATAAAAGGCAACGGGGATAAAAGTAGAGTGGCAAAAATTTAGGGGGATAAGTCTGCTGATATACCTGGTAAAGTGTTGTAAGTTATTATTTGAAAGAATTAAAGAGTAATGATGGAGCAATAGGATTAGCAGATGAACAAGGAGCCTTTAGGAAAGTAGGGATGTGTGGAGACGCAGTGTTTACAGCTGAAAACATATAAGTGAATCAGATTTAGATAAGGACTAAAGAGGTCTTTTGTGGCATTTATGGATTTGGACAAAGGCGTGTGCGCGTATGACAGGGTGATAGGGGGGCAGAGTGGCAGATTGATGCAAGTGTATGGTGTATGAGGAACAGGTTAGAGAAAAGCAGTGAAGAGTTTTAACGAGGATATTGAGCTCAAGTTAGAGCGTATGGTAGGGAAAGAGGTAAATTAATTTCCCAGTAAACAGTAAGGCCTTAAGACAAGGATGTTGTGAATGGTCACCGTGTTGTTTAATATATTTAATTAAATAGGGGTTTGTAAGAGAAGTAAATGCGAGGTCTTGGCAAGAGCGTGGAGTAAAAAAGAAAGGAATCACACACAAAGTGGAGCTGTCCACTGCTTCTTTGCTGATGACACTGTGCTCGTTAGTAGATTCTGAAATGAAGTTGCAGGATTGGTGATGAATTTGGTAGGGTGTGCAAAAGAAGAAAATTAAAGGTGAATACAGAAAGATTAAGGTTTTGAGGACTAACAAAAAGATTTAGGTGAAGAAAGATTGAATATCAGAATGGAGTGAGAGAGTATGGAGTGATGTGAATGTATTCATAATTTTGGAGTGGACGTGTCACAGATGGGTCTATGAAAGATGAGGTGAATCATAGAATTGATGATTGGGAATAGAGTGAGTGGTGCACATAGGAGTCTTTGGAACAAATGAAACTTTGACCTTGGAGCAAGAGGGAATGTATAGAGTATAGTTTATACCATCGCTCTTATATGGGTGTGAAGCATAGGAGGATGAATTTTCCAGCGAGGAGAAGGCATGGAGGCAGTGAGGAGATGTCATGTCTGAGGGCATGTGTGGTGTCTGAATATTAAATGCAAGGAATCGTAGTTTCTGTAAGTTAGATCAGGTGCGGCATTACAAAAACTGTTGGTCCAGATGAGAGCACAGAGGAAGGTGTGAGGTGGTTCGTACATGTAAAGAGAGACTGGAGCGAAACAGAATGACTTCATGAGTGTATCAGTCTGTAGTGGAAAGGGGAAGGCGGGTAGGGGTCGGTCCTAGGAAAGGTTGGAGAGAGGGGGTTAAGGAGATTTTGTGTGGGTCGAGGGGCTTGGAACTTCCAGGCAGGCATGCATTATTGTATTTGATATGAGTGAATGGAGACAAATGGTTTTTAAATAATACTTGATGAGCCTGATGGAGTGTGAGCAAAGTAACATTTATGAAGGGGTCTATCAGGAAACCGCAGGGCCGGACTTGAGCCCTGGAGATGGTAAGTACGAGTGCCTGCACTCTTAAGGAGGGTGATAATGTTGCAGATTAAAACTGTAGTGAACCAGCACCCTTGCTGGCAAGACAGTGAGTGAGTTAAAGAAGGTGAAAGTTTTTCCTTTTTCACGGGCCATGCCCTGGCGCCAATGGTGGGAATCGGCCAGTGTGATAAAGAAAAACCTAAATACATAACATTACACTGTAAGTTCGTGTCCTGAACCTATCATGGAATAATTCTTCCTCCGGTGTTGGCCAATAAACACGGGAAACATCCCAACGGTTGTCTGGAGGGAAAGTTGACGCTCTCCCTTGGACGACTCCGATCTCGAAGAGTATGCCACGTTGATTTATGAGGCAGCACCGGCCGACGCCTCGTAAATCATGTGAACAGACCCCGATCAAGCCTTCCTATTCCCCAGGTTGCAGATTCCATATGTCCCTCTGTTTCCATGCCCGAGGGAACTGTCTTCCTCCCCACCCCATTAACCCGGGAGGAACAACCGAAAGGACCCTCTTTAAAATTCGCGTATTAGAGGCAGGCCATGTAAATCCTCTTTGGGTCAATCCGGTCCAAGAAGAAGTTAAAAACAATTATTTGTATCTACACTGAGACTTAAGGAGATAGAGGACCGGCAATTGTTTAAAACAGGTTAGTAGATCCAACAAAGTATATACCTCAAATATTAAATATAGCTCATAATACGTCATTAGGGACACACTTAGGAATACAAAAACCTTGTATAGAATCACAAAAGAAATTCTATTGGCCAAAAATTAAAGAAATGTGTGAAAATTCATATTCCGTGTGCCAAGATGTCAGAAAGTAGGGCGAAACACCCTGTACATTCCCATTAAACATGCACCTCTCCCAACCTATAACGCTGCTGATGGAGAACCTTTTGCAGAATTAATTATAGATTGTGAAGGTCCACTACTACCTATGGTCAAAGTCTGGAAATCAATATTCATTTACGATTATGGATAAATAACCCAGATACCCATGAAGGAAATCCCAAGCGTAGTATTAATACTAAAGCTATTCTCAAAGCTTAAACCAAATTCACTTTCTTGTTTTGGCATTCCTAAAACTATTCTCCAAGTGATCATGGGTACGAATTTTCACTGCCAAGGCATTTAGGGAAGTATTAAACTAGGTAGGGATAATCCACAACTTTTTCCACTGCCTATCATCCTCACAGTACCCAGAGGCGCTGCGCCTTGGAAAAATCTACCAGACAATAAAAACAAATATGACTAACTTTTTTGCATGCACTTTCCTACTCGACTGCGAGGATGAATTTCACTACGCTTTGTTGCTGTCTCAGTCCGAGACGGTGCAAGAGTCTACAGGGTAATTGCCGTTTGAGCTGATTCTTTGGGCACAATGTACGAGGTCCTCTTCGGTGCTCAAAGAAGATGGACTGGGAGAGAATACTACTTAGCTCAACACATCTACAACTCACCTTCTTCAAGGTTGCAGGTGGCACCATCAGTTTAGCCACGGCTAACCTAAAGACAGCTCAAAGTAAGATGAAACAGAGGTATAAGAAGTGCACAATTCACTCCTTCCATCCAGGAGAACAAGGTGTCTGGTGCAGGAACCTTAGTAAAACAACAAAAAACCGGCCACACCTTGAAAAGCTAGAATTTACGGGAACATATCAGATTGTAAAGTAGATTATCTGATGAAAATTATGTTGGACTAGGCTCCCATTGATAATACCTCAAAAACTAAAACATACCACATTAATCAAATAAAGGCTTTTCATACACACCAGATAAAAGTCCCAGTAAGACTACTGGTCCTCTACACCTCTGAGGACAACTCTGATTCTTTAGCACCTATCTACTGAAATTAATATTAACTTTCAAATTCTGTCCTCCTCAAGGATCCTAGCCCTTTAATTCGAAACGATTAACTGAAACTCAAGCAACAAATTTAATAGGAGCTCTACAGTCATATCCTAAGATAATTTTTTCGGATGTGCCGAAAAAAATGTACGTTAGGTTATCATTATGTAGATGGGGAAACTCTAAAACCAATTAAACTCACCCCTACAGGCTAAACCTGAAAAGCAAAGGCTACTTTCAGCAGGAAGTAAATGTTTGTTAAAAGCATGTTTTAGTGGAGGAGTCATCTAGTCGCATGGCTTCATCGTGCATCCTTGTGAAGAAGGCTTGATTGAGGGTTTCGTATTATTTTAACAATGTATTAATTTATGTTTTTTGTATATTAATATAGATTGTTTTCTCGTATTTTGATTTGATAATTTATGTATATGTTTGTTAATAATAGATTGTTTATAAATTTTATGTTTCATAATGATTATTTTTAAATTTAAAATTTAATGTTTTTATTTTAATATATGTTTTTATATTTATATTTTTATTTTATAAAATTTTTAAATATTTGTAATCACTTTACTTTTGCTTTTTGGATTTATGTTAATTTATTATTGTTTATAATTTTTTATATTATGTTTAATTTGTTTCATTAATTTTTTATATGATTTATGAATTATGTATTAATAAATGTTTGTTTATTTTTTTGTTGTGTATGGTCAATTTTAAATTAACTTGTACATTTGTTTTTTATTGTATGATTATTATTTATAATGATTAATTTTTTTAAATTTATTATTATTGATGTATATATTTTTTTATATTGTCGTATATGTATTTTTTATGTATATATTATTGTGTTTTGTTTGTAATTATGTAAGTTTTTATGTTATTTTATTTTTATAATAAATGGTTTGTTTAGTTTTTTTATTTTTATTTTTATTATTATATTGGTTATGGGAATAATTATTTATTGTTTTTTCTTTTTGTTTATTATGTTTTGTGATTATTATTTAAATTGGATAATATTTAATTTGTAATTATTTTTTGTTTAATTTATTTAATTATTTTGGATTAAGTAATTGATTATTATTTTGTATTTTTTATATAAATTTTTGTTTTGAATTAATTAATAATTTTATAATTTTGATTTATGTTTTTATATTGTTTTATTTGTTTGATGTGTATATTTATATATAGATTTACATTATATTTAATTTTTTATTTTTTGTATCAATTTTATTTTTTAATTTTATATTTTTGGTAATATATTGTTATTTTTTATATTGAATTGGTTTTTGTTTATTATTTGTTATAATAGTTTTTGTTTTATTTTTAGATAATTTTTTTATGGTTTTGGAAGATAAATAGTATTAATTGCTATATTATGATGGTTAAATGATTTTATTAATTGTGATTTTTTGTATTTTATTTTTATATGATATTGTAATACTTATTTTATTTTATATTATAATATTTTTTATTAATAAAATAAGTTATTTATAATTTATATTGATATATATTATATGTTATTCATTTTAATATATTGATATTGATAAATTAAATTATATATTTATTATTAGATTATTTTTATATATTTATTTGTGAGATTGTGGTTTATATTATTTATATTAGGGGGGGGGGGGGGGATTAAGATATGTGGTAAATAATTTTATATGTTTATTTATATATATTTGGATATATATTTATTGTAATTTTATTATGTATGTTTTAAATATTTTATGTAGTTTTTGGTGATGTTTTGTAATTTGTCGTTCTGCGTTATATTTTTTTTTTTATAATTGTTTGTTTTTGTGTGTATAGTTATTGTTTTGTTTTAATAATATAATCTTTTGTTTATTTAATTATGGTTTGTTAAT